TGAGGAGGCATTGTTCTCTCTCTCTCTCTCTCTCTCTCTCTCTCTCTCTCTCTCTCTCTCTCTCTCTCTCTCTCTCTCTCTCTCTCTCTTTCTCTGTAATATGTCTCTGTCTCTGTCTTTGTCTCCCCCCTTTCTTTCATTTCCCTTTCCTTATTCCCTTACGTTTCCTGAATAAACTTTCCACAGAAGTTCTGTCTATAGAACTCTGTCTGTTTCTCACCCGACATTTGCCCCTCACCTGACTTGGTACCCCCTGATGCCCCACCTCATGCCATATTATAACAATCACAGTTGTATTACATTGGGTATATTTCAAGCCATTTAATAAGAATGTTGTGCATAATCAAGTCAAGAAATAGGAATGAAACATTGTTTATTAATTCAAAAGAAATGGGAGATGGCATTTTAGGTTCCTGAGAATATGGCTGTTGCTTCCTACAACAGTAAAGGGTGGCTGACAGGACTTCCATTACTGCATAATGGCCATTGAAGAGGCAGCTCTCTCACAGCCTGAGCCGTTGCTGTTTGCAAAATTCACTTTGAGTATATAATGCCAATTATAGGGAATGAACATGCCAAGACTCTGACAGGTGTCTAGGAAGCAAAAAATATTAATTTTATTTATGCATTTTCTTTTTTAAATACCTCTGAATAAATGCCGACTAATGCAGCTTAAAATGGCTATGCATGTTTACCTCCATATGAACTCACCATGACTCTTCTCCACACCTCCCAAAAGGAAGACAGAAAAAGAATCCAACTAAAAGAACATGAGCTGATATCCTAAGGGAATTCAATATGAATCACACAGAGACAAAATGAACTTTGAAAGCCCTAGAAGTCAATAGTTTCAGAAAGAAGAAAAAGAAGAAAAAAAGAATGAGACAAATACAGGAAAAGGCTGAGAGATCTGACAAGGCTTTCACATCTAGGAATTTAGGATATTTCTTACCACTTAGGTACACATTTCTATATGTGTTACATAATATTTTATTCACATTCCTCAAAATGGTGAAAAAACAAGCAATGCATCATGTGTTTCTTAACTCTGGTAAGATGATACAGCATGTAGTGATGTGAGCACATAGGATTTTATATTGGTGATATACAACTATATAACCTAATACTGCATAATTAGTTCTTTTTGCAAATTGAAAAATGCTTATTCATGGACCGTAAAAAATTACTAATTTGTTCTAAACAAACATCTACAAATCATGTTATTCTGTTTCCATCCTAAAATAAATATTTTCCTCATTCATTCCTCATTTACTTAATGTGTATGATCTCATGATCTCAAATTTACATTTTTACAAAGAAAAAGTTAATGACTTACATATCACCTATAAATTTTTTCAAAAAGATTAGCAGAAAAATCAACAGTAAAATAATTTTACTGTAAATTGCTTTGAGTGATATTTATTTTCAAAGGTTTGGCACTAATTAGGATTCTCTATAATGCAAATAATCAATGTCAAAAAAGATCCTGAAAAGATGTAATCTGGGGAGTCAAAGAAACCTGATGACAAGAAAAATCTTGTGTGTTCCTACAATCTCCTTCAGCAACTACCTAGAGAGAGAATCATACGCTTATGGATATCTTACACTTTCCTTTAAATTTATTCAAAACACTGTTTTGTATGCATACAAAGTTTTAAAGATGACATTAAAAAATTTGCACGCTGGTATAATTTATAATTATAGTTGTATTATATCTCATATATGCTTTTAACCTATGTCACTTAAACCTGAGTCACCTATTGTAGTACTCATTTGAGAACAAAAGTATGAAGTGGCTTAAAGATAGACACAGGTAGTGGAATTGTCATAAATTTTCCACTTCAAAGAAATATGGAATCCCTCCTTTCATTTTTTCCTTATCCCTGGTGTTTGCTCCTCCTAAAACTATGCCATTGGGAGCTATACATTCCTGGTGGTTCATTCTTTTTCCAGTTGTCTTGAGGTTTTTACTTCCCAGGATGACATACTCTGGGAAAAGTAGGCAGGAGTGAAAAGCAACTATTGGTCTCCTAAGAGAAAGAGGAGGTTCTGAGTTATGGTGAGAGGGGATATTTATTAAGTTATATTTGCATATAGTTAAATGCATTAGCAAGGAAATTGGAAAGAAGCAACAAATTCACATATTACTCTGGAAAAAGATGGGTGGGCCAGATGAGGTGTTCATTCGTGTATGTGTATCTGTGTAGAGACAGAGAGAGGATGGGGTTGATAGACAAAGAGAATGAATAAACTCATTTTGGTTTTAAGAAGGGTTGCTTGACTAAACACCAGGTTAGCTTAATCTCTGACAGCTGATGTGTCTGAGGAATGATTTTTAAAAAGTCAGTAAATTGGTTAACATAAACAAGGTCAAAGGTTAGAAAGATGTGCAGATACCTAGACAGTTTCCTTTCTATAAAATTTCTCATGATGTAGTTTTACAAAACAGATGAATAGGCCCACTCTACTTATACTTTTCAGAGCCTATCTAAGTAGGTGATGAAGAATTCAGTGTTTGGGAACTTAAATAAAACAAATACAAGCCAATTGTCCCCATATGTGCTTATGCTGGCTGCCATGAAATAAACTCTTCATGGCTATAAAATTGAATTATCCTAGGATTAACAAGCAGATGTAGCAGATGTGTACTCTCCTGGTGCCAAGAGTTGGGCCTTGCCCCATCATGTGCTAACTTCAAAACTTGAGTCAATAACTTCTACTGATAAACTTTATTAACATACAGAATGAGGGCAGCTAGGGGATGATTTGACACTACATTACACATATGAAAGCAACTGTTCAGTAGAAGCATTTCAATTAAAGTTAGCCAATGGTCTGCAGTTTTAAATTTACTTTATCTAGGTTTTATATGTACATGGGACCTGAAGTTATTCAACTATGAAATAAGTGCAGAGAATCATTATTAAAACCTATTTGTTTCTTAGATATACATTTAATGCTTACTTAGTAAAGTTTTTTAGTTTGAATTCCAACAGCAACATTCCTAAATTAGATAATAAAACTTACTGAGTTCCAGGTAGTACAGTGTACAGGAAGTGTGTTAGTTTGAATGACCGTGTTTTACATGTAGATTACTAGAAGTGGTCTAGTCTACTTAAGCATATCCACATGAGCAGCATCCTCTTCTAGTGAATATACAGTAAGCTTCTCAGAAGACTCCAATCATTTCAAAAGCTGAGAATGAGATTCATTGGCCTAAAGATTCATATATAACATGCAGATGCTATGAACACATCTAAGGTATGAATCTATTATCTTTAGCCCTGGTAATACCTTTTTGAAATGATTATTTTGTTAGTTCATTTTTTTGTTTTTCTCTCCCTTACTTCCTGAGTCACGTCAAACTTTCATCATTATTTTAGAAGATTCCAAAAAATTCTTTATATAATATTGAGCTGATTCACCTGTTATCAACTACATGAGTATATCTTGAAGGGTAGCTGCCATATTAGATCACTACCAGTGGTTCAAGAAGCAGATAATTTGTACAGTCCCTGTGATCTTGCTTGTAGGCACTGTTAACTCATATGATCCTCATTGTATTAAGGGTCTGGCACTGGTACTGAAATAAGGTAAGCAACTTTATCACTAGCTTAGAGTTAATAGGACAGGAAACAAACAGATTTATTACAGGGAAAAAGGCAAAGATTATATTCCTATAAAACAACTACTATTTAAATTAAGGCAAAATGTGACATAATGTAGGAATCTGGAAATCTTTAGTTAGGAACTTCTGTGCAAATTCAATAGCCATGAATTCAAATGTAATTCAGTATCTGAATTGCGTAGACAATTTTATGAGTATTCTCAGAATGAATACATGTGAAAACAGCTTTAATAAGGCCCTAATATCCCTTCCCATTATTACCAGAGGAAAGCAATTTTCTATTAGTACTGGAGCTGTTATGTTGATATCTGTATTCGATTCATTGATTTTGTAAGGTTTTCTTCATTCATAGAAAGGATGAAAACACATTGGAACTAGGGGATGACTGAAAGCTTTTCCTGTGTATTTTACATTGAACGAGTCTATCTCACCTACTATGCTCAACACAGAATGAAAACATGTAATCTTCAGGTACAGGCATGATGTCTATTACCATAGAAATATTGCTAATTATTACAAGAAGTGAGGACAGATTCCAAAAGCATGACTATCTCCAACAGAATCCTCAACAGATTCACAATGGATTCCAGTTGAACAACCCAAGCTTACCCAACTCATGGAGACATAGCAGATATCCAGTTCACAAGCACTAGGATAGATGAATCCATCTGAAAAGATTTCAGGTAGAATAGGCAGACCAAATAAATGTATCATTACTACTGAGTGTGAAGGACAAAGGTATCTTTGTTCTCCTGTTTACAGATTAATGTTGCTAAAATGTACTGATGTTTCAAAGGATTCGGTCTGCAACCTGAAATTGTTTATCCTGGTAAGTAAGACACATTGTAGACTAAGTTTGCATAATGTTGAATTGAGAGAATATTTACTCACAAATACTTATTTTGTATTTATTCTATCATACATGATCATGAATAGAAATACAAGGACTTAATGACTATATTTTTATAGTGTTTACACCATAATGACATTAATAGAACTTCTGTATCTTGAGGATTTATAATATACTGGGCAGGTGCTTGCATATACTACCTCTTACTTCAGTGGCATCTTCTAATACCATTTAACACATATATTAGCAAGGGAAATTGGAACATTTTAAGTTACTTTCTCAAGGTTGTATACCAATTACGCATAAAGGCTAGGTTAGTATTAGTTCCATTAAACCTTATCCTTGCAAAATAATAAATAGGATTTAAAAATCTTAAACTTGTAGACTGTGTTACAGTCACCATTTTATTTCATTATCAACTCATAATGATAGAGCAGCTTGTATATTGCACACAGAGACATACATTATGTGCTTGACATTACATTTTCCAAGGGGCAACACATTAGAATTGTCTTCTCTTACCACAACATGAAGTATTGTCAACACCAATTCTTCAGCTTCATTTGGGATACTTCACACATAAGGATTCTACATCTTGAAATCATCTGCAATAAGTGTCCTATAAATGAAACAACAACAAAAAAATGGGAACAAGGGACAAAACTGACTTTGCCCAACAGTTTCCATATGGCTGCTTTACTTACATTCTGAAATAAAAGTTACTTATATATTTCCAGACTGTAATTTCATGAGTCAAATTAATATATTGATCTCCAATAACACTGTTGCTTACATGTTCTCATAATTAATTTCATCATGTGTGTTTTTGTAAACCAATATGTATTCTTTAATGAGCATTAGGAAAATAATTAGAATGTAAGATAATTTTCACATCAAAGCATTTTGATTAAATTTAGTTTGAAAAAATATTCTAAATACTAGTAATAGCATATAACTGATAGCAAAGTGTTAGAGAGATCAAATTATGCTTCATAGCATCTCTTAGAAAAAGATGTAGCATCATCTTCTTCTTCCCTGCCCCTTGTTAGAGAGTTCTCTCAGGGTTTTAGGCATGCCAGACAAGGTCTCTACCAATAAGCATCTTTTGCAGTTTCTACCATTTGTTATTTCAAGACAACTGAAGATGTCCTTCTAAAATTCAAATTGAAAACACCTATAAAATTCAGTCAGAGAAGCAGGTAGGCTAACTGCTGATTTCACCTCTCCTTTCCTTTCTCTAAATCAAATCTCTAAGTTTTATCCCAAGCTCTGTAACCGACCACCTTCTGCAGTCTCTCTTCACCCCTGACCCCAGGGGACATACAAACCTTCCCCTGCAAATTCATCCCCCACTTATCCTTTTATTCCAGTCCCCTTCAGCAGACTTTCTCTGGGAAACCATTAGCCAAGCCTGCTAGAGATAGAGGTAGGCCAGCAAATCAGATAGGAGCACTTCAGATCTTCACTCCGCCTCCACTTCCGCATAACCAACACCACAGTATCACTCCTAGCTCTGTAGCAAACCACGTGTTGTAGCTTCTCCTCACTTTCTCCCCAATTCCCAGGAGACTAAAAGATTCTGGTGGAGAATCCCACTTTCCTGTCTCCTGTGGATTCCTCCTATTCCATTAACATTTTTAAGTGTCAGTTTCCAATATCTAGGAAGTCATTTTCCAGGAACCCCCATTAGACACACATATCAGTATCCCAGAAGAAAACCCTACCAGGAAACACACAGCTACCACACTCTCCTAAGAACCATAGAGGACAACAAAATACAATTAACCAAACACCCACACAACAAAGACAAGAACCTACACATGTACCTAGAACGATGATCAACTCAAACCCAGATTCACAGACCCCACTGTAAAAATATAATCAGTAATAGCCATGACAATATTGTGAGAGGGCAAAACATTACAGAAATTGCTCCTTTTTGTAGTCTTGCCATGGCCATTTTAGATTAAATTACAATTTTTTATCATTGCTGGTAAAACCCATGAAAAATTGCCCAATTCTATTTAGGAAGCCTAGGTCAACATGCCTTAGCTAACATATTGTATCATCTGTATTGCTTGAGCAAAAACTCTAACTGCAGCTCCTGAAAAAGATGCCAAGATGTGATTTTGGCCATCGAAATTTTTACACTAAACACTCATCATTACATTTGATTCTCAAATACAAGGTTATAGTTCCTAATGACTGGAATAAAGAATTTCAAATGACTTTAAACTGTGACTGAATGATGTGGACTCTCTGTAACAATGTCTCCACAAACAACAAAAATGCTAAGAAGTGAATACAAAAGAAATATAACCAATAAAGAAAATCCAAACTGAGGAAAATCTGGAAATGAAAAATTTAGGAACTCAAATAGGAACCTCAAAGGCAAGCTTCACCAACAGCACACAGAGAGAATCTCAGTCATTAAAAACATCATAGAAAATACCTGGTCAAGGAAACTGTTAAATCTAATAAAATGTTGGCACAAAACTTCTAATAAATTTGAGATACAATGAAAGACAAAAATCTAAGAATAAAAACAATAGGGGAAGGAGAAGAAAATCGTGTCTTCTCAGAACTCTGAAAATACTCACAAAAAGGATCCATTATTCTGTTGCAATCAAGAAACACACCTTATAAGTTAGGATTAATAACACTTCAGAGTAAAAAGATGAGAAAAGATATTCAAAGAAAATAGACCTAAGTTGGTAAAGTCATTTTAATATCTACAAAACAGACTTCAAACCAAAAATTAGTAGTAAAGAAAACAATTCACCCAATTAAAACTGGGGTACAGATATAAACAGAAAATTGTCAAAAGATGAAGCTTATATTCTAGGAAACATTAAGAAATCCTCAACAGTCTATGCTAGAAGGATATGAAAATGGTACCTTGAGATGTCATCTTTCACCTGTCACAATGGCTAAGATCAATAAACAAGGAGCAGTTCATGATAGTGAGCATATGAAGGAAGAGGAACACTCATCCATTGCCAATGGGAGTGCAAACTTGTACAGACACTATGGGAATCAGTGTGGTACTTCTTCAGGAAGATGGGAATTTATTTTTCTCCAAGGGACTATCAGTGGGAACAAACCACTCTTAAAGGCCTGATAATGAACTCGATGTCTATAACCATCGTGGATCCTTCATCCAGTGACTGATGGAAGCAGAGGCAAACACCCACAGTTAAACACTGAACTGAACCCAAGAAACCCAGTGACAGAGAGAGAGGAGCTATGAGCAAATTGACAAAGAATGGGCTGGCAAAACCAGCAGAGACAGCTGATGTGAACAGGGGAGAGCTCTTGGACCCCAGACCGCCAGCTGGGAGGCCAGCATGGGACTGATCCAGACCCCCCAAATGTGAGAGTCAGAGAGGAGGCCTGGGCAACCTATGGGGCCCTGAGCAGTGGATCAGTGTTTATCCCTCGAATACAAACAGACATAGTGTGTCCATAACACAAAGAGGGATGCTCTCTCAGCCTGGACTCTTAGGGGAGTGCCTGGACCCTACCCTGAGTGAAATGACAGACTCTAGATATCCCCTATGTGGAAGGAATTGGCAATAGGGTGGGAGGCTGGGGGGGATGGTGGAGGGGTGCGGGAGGAGGGAAGGGAGAGGAAACTGGGATTGACAAGTAAAAAATAAATAAAGAAAAAATGAAATGAAATAAATTAAAAGGGTAGGCTGCATGCAGAAAATAAACCCAATGTCATCTTTGGTGATTCCTTATCTTATAATGCTATGTGAGAGCTCTTCCATCTTATTGTTTTTTTTTTAATTTTATCTTTTAAAATATGAATCACACACACACACACACACACACACACACACACACACACACACACACACTGTGACCTGACAGTTCCATTGCTTATATATTATGGATTCTAGTCCACTCTTTTTATGGACTTCCCTTATGTGCTAAAGAGTGAGTCTCTGTTTATTCTTCATTCTCTTGGGCTCTTTTCCTTCTATTTGTTTGTTTTGTCTATTTCTGATACGTTAGTTTTGTTTTACCTTCTTATGTTATATTTCAATATATTTTATTTTTATTATTATCCAATAGAAGCCTGTTTGATTTCCAATAAAGACAGAAAGGGGTGGACTTGGATTTGGAGGGAGGTGGAGAGGAACTGAGAGTAGTATTTGGAGGGAAAACTACTTAATCAGTATATGTTATGTGAAAAAGAAGACAAAACCAAGCCTCTATTTTCCATAAAAGAAAGCAAAGAAACAAAATCACCTACAACATAGCATTCTAGTACTTCTAGTTATTTTGTCAATCAACTTAATAATTATGAAAATAAATTATCTTAAGTATATTTTTTTTGTTTCCAAGCAGAGACACTACCTGTAAATTTACCAGGGATTACGCCCAAGTTGTCAGCTCTTATTTTCAGACTGTCAATACTAATCCAACTCTTTCTCTTTGCCTGTCTGTCTCCTCCCTCAACCTCCTTTTGCTTTGCTCTACACACAACACACAGACATACATAGACATACCCAAACATGCAAAAATTTAAATCAATATTCGAAATTACAGTGTAATCACATAAATGTCATGAAGTCACTGTCATTCATCAACATAAGTCTATACCTTTTAATAGTTATTTTGGTTTTATTAAAACAGATGCTTACAAAAATAATTAAATAAAATCCTGATTATGCAAATCACAGTAATGAAATGCTGAACACTATATTTGTGGCTTCCTGGATTTCTATTTCTTCAAAAGAAACAAAGCAAGACGAAGAAGTCTTGATTGTACTAGATGGCATAATGGGTCCTTCTTCCCAAAAATATTACAAAAGTCTTTTAAATAATATTGATATATCAAACATACTAGATAGATTATATTTAGTTACACAATTTGAACTATTAAATTTCCTTTTCAGTAAAGGCCACTTCAGATGTGTTCTTTAAGTTGTCTTCAGCTTCAAAACCAAGCTCCATATCCTGCTTCAGGATCACAGCATTGAGATTCTGTACACCTCCTTTCTTGTCTGCCAGCTGACTACCTCTTATGCTCCATATTAGGGAGCATGAAAGAAAAACTAAGTGACAGCAGAAGGGGATGGGTTCCTGGCTGCTTGTTGATGTCTGGGTTTCTTTTACAAACATCCTTCACCCTCAAAGCTGAGCATAGTACGTGTACAGACTTTTTAAAAGCTCTTCAGAACTTATTCTATTCTAACAAAATATCCTAGATGTCTTGGGTCTCTTCCCGACTTGACTTTTCTTGGGATTCAACTCTGCTTTCAGCTCCTCTGACACCATGATTGGATGCATAGTAACATCTCCAACAACTATGTTTCAGGTCTCAGTTATTCTCAGTCCACAAAGGAGAAGGGCTTCATTGCACTAGAGCCTATGTTTCATATTAAAATTCACCCAGTAAAATAACACATTTCTTTTCACTTTCCCTGTTTGAACCTTTTAAAGTATCTATATTCAGCTTTGAGTTTGAGGGCAGGAAGACTAGAAAAAGGCAAATGAAGAATCTAATGTTTTATATACTTCATTAATTTTATTGTGTAATCTCCAGGAAACCCAATGAAACAGATGGATGTTTATAATTATTTCATTAATAAATGAGTGATCAAATTT